CTGGAAAAGCTGACATAGTCATAACTCTTACAACATCCCCAGCAGGCTTGTGCAGGACTAGACGGACAGAAAGTCACCGTTCCTCCTCTCCAACTGTTTGTAAACAGAGAACTACATCATTTGCTTATCAGCTATCTAGCAGTTCATTTTTGCTTATATATCCCACAGAGGAAAGAGACAGAAAACGAAAGAACAAACCCCTATTGGCACATATCTCAATTTCCACCTGGGCAAATTTTCATTTATATGATGGGCCTGCTTGTTAAACTCTATTTCTTTCATTTGCTCTTGCACACTCATTCTGGTGTGTAACAGATCTCCTCTTTCTCTCTCTCTCTGCCTGGAAGGCATTAAAAGTGGGTATTTTTAAGTATCTAGCACAGTGCCTAACAGAGTGCTTCGCACATAGTACGCCCACAATAATGCATCTAATGAACTGAAATTCTAATTCCCATGTTCAACTTATCTGATGATGGAGCGGCAGAACTATAGATTCTTTTTCCTGAAGTATTGAAAAGTGACAATTCCTTACAAGGTAATATCATTTTATTCAGATGATTCATACTTAGGACTTCTGTCCTTTAAAGAGCATCCGTTTTTGCACAATGGGTATTATTTGTAAGGAAAATGAAGGCAAGACCAAGCTGCAGGATCCTGAATGACAAAATGAACACTGATACACTTTTTCACCTGATTGTATGTCGTTATGGTAATCCACTACATATGTCTAAGATCACTTAACAATGCAAGAATATAGTGCACACATGGGCTGCATTCTGTAAATAGGATTAACAGTTAAATTCAACCAAGGTCTTCCCAGGGGACAGATTGCTGGAAAATACATCTACATGACATTTAAAAAAATAAATTAACCAATGACATTGGCTCCCATGAGACACATTGTTTCTTGTACATTCAATTCTATCAGTTTTTCGTAGCTCTCTGCTGACATCCTCATCCCAAAAGACATAGAAATTCAAAACACAAAGAAAAACACAGCAATTGGAGCTATTCCGTCTCTCCTGCATGAAGTGTTATGTACACAAAGGAAAGATTTCTGTACATTAGCACAATGTGAACCATGACATGGTGAGATCGCATCAGTCTGGACTGCTCTTGTTATGCAGTGGTCACATATAACTCACCCAAGGGAATGAACAAAGTCTGTATGCATACTGACAAAGACTGGCACAGGCTGCAGGAAAATGAAGAGAGCTGTGTTATGGCAGAGGGTTTTGATTTTTTTTCCTATAAAAAATGTTATTATAATTATTTTTCTTCCAAGTTTTATTTATTTTAATTTTCCTCATCTGTAAAATAGGGATAACTTTTATGCATTTAATATTTCTACTTTTAGGATGAAATGTAATACTGGTGGATTGTCTGGCACACAATAGTTAATCCATACAGTCCACATCAACATTTGGCTAGCATTAACTAAACAACCAGGATGTGCCAGGCTCCGGTCTAAGACTCCAAGAAAAAGTACATTGTAGTAGGAAAAAGTGAGGCTGGCGAGAAAAGCAGGGAGCTGATTTTCAAAGGTTTTATAAGCCACTCTAAGAAGCTTGGATTGCATCTTGAGGACAATGGGCAGCCTTTGAACTATTTTATATAAAGTTGGATAGCTTCAGATCTGTGATTTAGAAAAATCATTGTGTCAGTATTGGTGGAGACCGGATTGGAAGGGAGGCAGACTAGAGGCAGTAGCAATCCAGGCTAGAAGTCATGTGTGTGTTGCAGGGGGCGGGGGGCAGTGTGCCCCAAACTAAGGCAATGGTAATAGGGGTAAATATGGGGAAAACATTTTTTAATAACTTTTTAAAAACTAACTAATATATCATTATAGATGATTAGAAAATAAAAATCTGCAAAGATTAAAAATAGAACTTATATGTAATCTTAGCATTGATAGCAAACCTCTATTAATATTTTTTGTGTGTTTACCATCACAGGATTTTTCCTATGTGTGTGTGTACACGTGCATGTGTGATATGTGTGTGCACGTTTAAACTGGATCTGTCAGCTTTATAAGCTCAATTTTCTCTAAATATATCATAAACAACTTTCCACAGCATTAAATATCCTGTGGTAACATCAACTTACATGGCTAGTTAGTAACCCAATTTATAGATGTACCATAGTTGATTTAATTTAAACCTCTAGTATTGGACATCTAAAATGTTATTTTTTTCTTTTTTCTTTTGCTTTTCTTTTTGTTTTTGCTATTATAAATAATTCTGGGATGGATATCCTGAGAGCTAAAATTTTGAAAACATCACATTTATTTTCTCAGCATAGAGCCCTAGAAGTTGAAGTGGTAGATTGAAAGCTATGTTCAATCTTAAGATTTTTGATACATATTGACAAATTGCTCTCCAGAAGGCTGTTTCAAATTACACTCCCACTAGCAGTGTCTATGAGTAGGAGGAGACCCATTTGAGAGTGATTTCAAGGATGGAGTCAACTGGACTTGGTGGGTGGAGAGGAAGGGATGGATCCTTGACAGAATATCAGGGCAGGAGCAATGTGAACTCTGTCAAGAGGAGCAAAGCAATGGGAAGGACTAAGGAACAGGTGGATGGGTGGATAAATGATGAGAAACAGAAAGGTAAGGTAACCACAGAAGGGAGGGGAAAAATGTGAAAAAAAAAAGAAACCTTTAGTGAAGTTATGTACCCAGGTCACTTTAATTTACTGCTTTGTTCAGCAAATGTAGCAAACAGTTAGTCTTTTGTAGCATTTGGCACTCTGTGGTACCAAGGTCCAGAGTTATATTCATGGGAATATGCTCATCCATTCTTTTCATCCAATAACCATCTATTAGGTGCCTACCATGTGCCAGGTGCTGTTCTGGATGCTATGGGTATGGAGGTGAGTGAGAACTGGCCCCTATGCTAAAGGGGATCACAGTCTAGAGGGGAAAAAGACATATCCACAGACCGACACACTATAGTGTGGTACAGGCTAGGACAGAGGTAAGTGCAGGGTCCTATGGAAGCCAGGGCCTAACATTGCTTTGTGTGTACATGCATGTGTGAGTGTCAGGGGTGGGATAAAGAGAGTTCAGGAAAGGCTTCACAGAGGTGTTGATATTTGAGTGGGTCTTGAAGAAGGAGTTCCTCACACGGCTAAGGGTCACAGATCATACTCATATTCCTCACCAGCGCCTTGAATATTTGTGACACTGCTCTAAAGGACACTCAGTAAGGCAGCAAAGATGCTTGTGTGTAATCCAAACCCATTCATGACAACAGCCTCCACTGTTACCTTAATGCATATATGTACATAGCCTGTTTGGGCAAGAATATGCTCATCTTAGAATATAAAGGATAACAGGCTTTATACAGACTTTTAAAATAATTCTGATGACATTGATAGAATAATAACATTCACATCTACCAAGTCCTACTGATTCTACCTTCTAGATAGCTCTCAAATCTGTTCCCCTCTCTCTCATATCTTACTTCCTCAGGTCTTCATCATCTCTCTGTGGGACAGAGCACCAACCTCCTAACTGGTCATGCCCTCCTCCAGTACATCGTAAAGTGAAAACCTGATCACGATGCTCTTCTTCTAAAACATTTTAATGGTTTTCTATTGCCTACAGGAAGTATTTCCCGAACTTCAGTTATTTGAGTATTTCAGTATTGAGTATTTCAGTTATTTGAGTATTACTTGGTGATAGTCACACACTATGTGCACTAGTATTTAATATTTGTCTTTAAATCAACTTAAAACTGGTTCATCTTCTATTTTTACAAAGCTATATCCTAAGTACCCTTAGATTTGATTTCCAGTTCAGTTTTATCTTTTAAATGATGTATTAGAATATATAATTAATAAAATTTTTAACGTTTGTGGGAGTGCAACACAACCACTGCTGGCAGATGCCCTACCTTTTGAGAAACACTGGTCTATGAGGGCACATCCAAACTTCTTAGCCTTGAATTCAAGGTTCTTCATAAATCAGCCCCGACCTATCTTCCCAGACTCTTCTACCATTATACCTTCCTTTTCCCAAACAATCTGCACCCCAGACATGCTGAATTCCTCAATATTGCATGGACATGCCTTGCTCTCATATAGCCACATGTCTTTTACAGATGCTCCCTCTATCTGGAATGCCTCCCCTCCACTCTTCTCTGCCTGGCAAACTCATTATCCTTTAAGACCTATCTGTCATGTCATCTCCTCACAGAAGCCTTCTCCCTGACTCTGCCTTGCAGTTAGTCACCCCTTCCTTTATCCTTCCATAGCACTTTGTGCCTGTCTCTGTTATACACACTACATTACCTCAGAATTACAGGCATCCATCTCACCAACCAGACCCAGGGAGAGCTCACACCTCGTGCTCTGTTGCATCCCCAACTCTTAATGTGGCAAAGGTCATGGAGGAGACCTAGTGACCCAAAAGGTCATTTAAAATAAAAGCTAAAATAAAATAAACCCCAAAGCACTGTCCAGGTCCAAACAGCTTAGAGGCATGACATGCTTTATAAAGAGAATCATCTAATTCAGAAATAGCCATACTGACTATAGTTTTGGCAGACACAATTAGCTATGGCTGCAATAGCAGTTAAGCTAATTTGGTTTTGGCAGCTACTTTACAGCAGACACATACGGACACAGAAACTAAAAGTGAATCATTTGGGTTTCTGCCAGGACGATCAACTAGACTTCACAATAATCTCTCCTTACCACAAATGGAAAGTCCAGAACAAAAGTGAACAGCGGGCCCAGCAAACCATGGTGGACAGACTTTAATGATAGTGCCTGGAAATTATAGGGACTCAATAAATAGCAGTCATTATAGTTGCCCAACGAAATGACTACAATTCAGATAATATGATGTACAAGGACAACAAATGCATTTCTTAAGAAAATAAACTTATGTCATCAGCCTTTAAAATTGAAATCTACAGAGTGTAGCTAAGAATAGCTACAAACAAAACAGTCTATAAGACAATGTTCTCCTAGGGTTTAAATTAAACTCACACCTGGAACGTACCACCACACTTCCTTGTGTTCTCCAAGAATTGATCTCAAATCAGGTTCCCCTAGGATGAGAAAACAAAAATCACTCAATCTTAATTTTTTGCCTTTAATTTTATTTGATACAGAATAATATCCAAACTATGTGGATCCTTCAAAGTGTCCTGTTATTATGACCCTATGCTTTTCAACGATATTTCTTTCCCAATCTATCCCTGTTGAAATCTTTTACTCGAGTCAGGCAAGCCCACCTGTCACGCAAACGCTCCCTCTTCTATCTACCCTTCTAAAATTCTAACTCCAGTATCAGGAAGCATTTTCTTATTCCTCTTTGCCCATTTCAAATCCCCTTTACTCTTCTGGAGGCCAAATTAAAATTCACCTCCTTCACAAAGCCTACCAGGATTGATCTGGAAGACAGATGAAAGTTTCAAGCCTTCAGCACTTTCAAGGTTAGGCTTGACCTTCCATAGATCAACCCCCAACCTCATCAGTATCCCCTTCCACTAACCCCTCAGCACTTTTTTCATGTGTTTGTAATAATAAAATAATCAATACAGTTTGCTTTGCACTGTCTACTTTATTCTGTAGTCAGTGTGCTCCCTACTTGTTAACATTAGTGCTATCAGTTCTTGCTGGAAATCCCTACAAAACTCGGTTTTTAAAACAGGTCTAAATTGCCTTTTACTCTCACAGAACACTGTACTGAATCTTAAACATGTATTTCTCAACTGCTGCGAGATTCCTTCCCTCTTCTGGTCCCCACCCCTTCTGGAAATCGAGGTGAAACCCTTTCCACTCTAAAGATCTGGTCACGCAAGTGCTGGGTTGCTGGAGGGGTCAATAAAGAGATGGCAATGATCTTTATCTCACCATCAAGGAGGCAAAGTGAAAATTTGACAAAAAGTCACGCTCTGAGCGTGGCAAGAAATTCCCACGCCCCTAGAGGAAATAGAGAGTGTGTGCACTGTGAGGGGTGTGTGCCCAAACCTGAAATGCAAATTGAGGGAAGAGAGGAAAGAGATCAAACAACTCCTCTAAGCAATAAGAAACAGAGTCCACACGCCGCATGGGGAAGATCCTGGTCGAGAACCCTAACTTCAGACCTCTGAGGAGGCACAAGGCGGGGCGGGGGGGGCGGATGAAGGGGTGCCGTGGTGGACAAAGAAAGATAGCGAGCGGGTTGTGGGGGGGCGGGGGAGAAAAAAAGAGAGCGCGCTCCCGAGACTCACGGGAACGGGCGCGGAAAGCTCAGAAGCCCACCCCCGACTCCCAGTCCCCACACCCCCTCTCCCGGAGAGGCGGAGCTGGGCGGAGCTAGGCGCTGAGGAAAGCGGTCCCGGAAGCACCCTCCTCCCTAGGCCCCCTCGGTCCCACAGTCCCCAGCCACAGCCGCTCAGGCTTTCTGCCTCTCTGACCTCCAGCTCCCCGGCTACCGAAGCGCTACTCCTTATACAGCCGCGGAAAATCGGGCCGGCGCGGCAGCTCCTGGGCGGCTAGTGCCCTCACGCGCCGCGCAACTGTCTTCTGAACTCCCCGCCACGCGTGAGCCCGCTTGGGCCCGGCACCTCAGGCCCAAGGCTGGACGCTCACCCACACCGTGGCGGCTGCGGCGTCTCCTATTGGTTCCTGGTCACCAGGGAAGCCGGAGGCCCAAGCCTTCTCCTCATGGGAAATGTAGTTTCAGGTCGCTAGAGGCTGTTCTACCTGGGGTGCGGGATCCAATATTGGTATTGGCAGAGAGAGTCAAGTGAAGACAAGAGGATTGTGGGAGACGGAGTCGAGACACTTCTTTCTATATACCCACAATTCCTCCCTCCGGTCCGATGGTCCCCACAGTTCAAATGGAGGAGAGTATTCTGGGTGTTGTAGTAGTTTGGAGCGTACTGTCTTACAAAATCTCCCTTCTTTAGGGTATTGAGTTGTGCTTGTGTGGGACAGATGAAGGTTCTAGATTTATTTCACTGTTGGTTAAGGTATTAGCATTTTGGAAGAAGCTCGTTGTATCGTGATTTGAAATTTTCATTGAGTTTTGATTGACTTTTAAAAAATGTTATTTATGCGCTGATAAGTTTAGAATTTTAAATGGTCCTTTAAAACTATCAAAATGTGTTCTGTCTAACCCATCTGCGTTAGAATCACTTCAAAGGTTCTGGAAAAAAATTTATATTTTGTTTCTAATTGGCAATCCTATTTTTTCCTTTGAAATGGTGTCATAACAGGCATAGAAATGTGATCTATGAAAAGTCAGCCCAGAAGAAGCCTATTTAACCCATAATGAAGCCGCATTGTTGCCATGAATAATAGTGGCCACGTACACTGGTGTAATGCAATAGTTTAGAACAGATAGACAATACTACTTGAATAATAAGAAAAAACTGTATACGTCTTTAAGAAACTATCTTTTTAGTAAAAAAAAAATATATGTTAACAGAGGTGGATAAAGCAATAAGCGGGGACACCTAAGCACTTTCAAGTGATTTAAAGGGTGAAGAAAATGGTTGTTCATTAGGGCTAAAATCACTCCTAACTTTTGACTTTTCTTTGTTAGGGACGAATCCTTGTAGCTGAATGGGCTGTTACAGTTGTGTTACTACAATTTTACTGATAGGGACAACTTTTTTCTCACAAAAGAAATAAAGGGAAAGAAAAAGGAATTGCATTTTGCTAAGGTAATTGCCTAAAATTTTAAAAAGAGAAGTGAAGGAAAAAGAGGATTTAATAGATTCAGTAATTTATTCAGCAAACTGCTTTGTGCAAGGCACTAGGCTAGGCACTATTGCTACAGAATTGGAAAACAGTCGTTGCCCTCAAGTACCTCACAATCTAGGAAGGGAGATATACAGTGTGCAAAGAGTTCTAAAAAGGTCTACATAGCGTTCCATAGGACCATAGAGGAGGAAGAACTCATTCCTCTTCTGCAGGAAATCATGTTTGAATGATAAGACTTGAAGAACTAGTAAGATATTTGTCAGTTTTGGGGCATGGAGGTCAACCACATTCCATACAGAGAAATAAGAATGGGAACCAAAGCAGAAACCAAAAAACAAAACAAAACAAAGTTCCATATTTCAGGAACTAGATAAGGTAGAAATAGGGGGCCTATACAAATGAGTTCAAAATTTAACCTGAAAGCAGTAGAGAACCATGAAAGGATTTTAAGCAGGGAAATGGTATGATCAGATGGACTTGGTGATAATTTGGACATGGAAAGTGAGGGAAAGGGAAGGGGTTCTGTTGTGACTCCCAAGTTCTGGTTTGGAAGACTGCGTGTATGGTGGTACCATTCATTGAGATAGGAAACCCAGAAAGAGTAGCAAGTTTTGTGAGGGATAGGAGGAATTCAGTTTTGGACATTTATAATTTGAGGAGTCTGTGGAACATTTGGGTGGAGATGCCTGATAGGCTGCAAGGAAATGTACGTCTGAAGCACAAGAGAGAGGTCTAAACATTTGGGAGACATCAGTATGTAGATGGTAATTAAATAAGCAAATATGGATTAAATTTCACTCAGAGAGTGTTTAGAATAGTAATTTTTAACAGGATAAAGACTAAGTAAGGAACTCTAGAAAATAATGATATTCAAGTGGTAGGTAGAGGAAGAGGTGCCTTCAAAGGAAGCTGAGAAGAAATGGCCAGATAGATGAACTGAGAGAAAACAAAGTAAAATTACCAGAATATAGCACAGAGAGGTCCAATGAGAGAAGGATAGAAGAGTAACAAGGAACTGCTCATTCATCTATTCAACAAACATTTATTGAGTACTTAGAGCATTCCTGGCATAGTTCTAGATGTTGGCAATAGAGAAGTGGGGAAAAAACCCAGATAACGTTCCTGCCCTTTGGAGCTTATATTCTAGTAGCGAGAACCATCAATAAACAAATTAGTTATTAACATACATAGCTGTGACAAGTAATATTTCTGTAAGGCTTGTTAGAATCTGTGTGTGTGTCTGTGTGCTTATGCATACAAAGGTGAAACTCTTGATCTATTGTTGTAGAAAGTATGCTTGAAAATATATCCAGGAAACGAATACTTGAGTATAAGAAGATGAATTTGTGAAATAGTGGCCCACGGTAAATCAGTCTAGCTGGATTTATAGATCAATTAGTAGGTCAAGGTTAAGGCTCTATCAAGAGCCAGTGTACAGCTCAAGTCATGGCCAGGGTTCAGGTTTATAGTGTGAAATGTGTTTGGCTTCAGTCTTTCCTTCGGTTAAGGTTCAGTCAATTTGTCACTATTTTTACAAGTCAGTGTGGATCCCTGGTTAGAAGACCATGGAGCCAAGTTTAGAGCTCAGCCTGATACCAATGTTAGGGCCCAGAGTTATAGCTATGGTTCAATCTGTGACAAGGATCAGAGTGCATTTCTGACCAGTGTGAAAGCTCACTCTGAGGCTGCCATCAGTCAGTGTGGCCTGTATTATACCTCATTGTAAAGTCAATGTACAAGATTTGGGTTCAAATTTTGACCAGTATTAGGATTTAGTCTGTATGTAGGAAGAGGCCTCACTCTAAGATCAGTGTTGGGGCTCAGTCTGTAGACCAGCCTTACACAGACCACAGCTAGGGTTAGGGCTCAGCTCAAGGTTTGAATTTAGTTTTTTGTCAGTGTTGGAAACACTCTTAATTCTAGGTTTGGGAATCAGTAAAGGCCAGCATTATGGCTTTGCTGGGGCTTACTGTTTATGCTGATTTTGTTGCCTGCGGAAAAGCTAAATAAGAATTTGAACAGGATTTATGTTCACTCTTTGATCAGGTGAAGTTTCAATTAGTGTTCATGGTTGAAGTTTATTCTTGGTCTAGCATTAGGCCTCAGTCTGTGGCCAGTGTTAAGGCACAGTCAGTGTCTAAATTTAATATTCAGTCTGTTGACATGTTATGACATTACCTGGATGTGCCCGAGAGTTTGTCTCAGACCAAAGTTAGCATTTCACCCATGGACAATATTAGAGTATAGATTGTGGCCAGGATTTCAACTATGAATATGAACAGGATTTGAGATGCATATTTGGCCAGAGTATGTCCAAGGTATGTTTTCTGACTTTAGCCAGTGTCAGGGTTCTGTCTTTGTTGGTAGCCCATATCAGGAATGGTCTGTGGAGGTAAGTCATGGTGGCCAGTGTTGTACCTCATTCTGCAGCCAGAGCATGGCTCAGTTGGTGACCTGTGTTAGCACTTCAGCTTCGCTTGTATCAGAATTGACTCTGCAGGTAGTGGTCCAATTTTGGTTTTGTGTAGAGTTTTTGTTCACTGAGTGCTGGTATTGGTGCTATCTGATTAAGCTTTTATTTTTCTATTAACATTTTGGTTTATATAATTCCAGGGTTGTTCCATATACGATACGCTTATTTTTGCTTACTTAGACACTTGAAGGAGGCTGATAATTAGTAGCTGGATTGAGTTTGGGGACAACAATTTGTCAAACATTTTTAGAGAGGTTCTTTAATAATGATATGAATTTTAGAGAGCTCTGGCTGTGGCAAATACTGTTGATTGGTTAACCCAATACCTTTAAAGCACTCTTTTTCCTTATCTTCCTCAAAATACAGACTCTAAAAGCTAACACTACTTTTCTCAGGTGCTTTTTGCATCAATGAGGCACAAAAAGAAATACACCTTGACTTATGGAAAAATTTATTTTGCTGATTAAGGAGAGAGATATCATGAACAATGTCCTTCCATTTTTTAAAGCTTCATTGAGGTATAATTAATATACAAAAAATCCATATATTTAATGTATACATTTTGATGAGTTTGGACATATGCATATACCCATGATACCATCACCACGATCAAGGCACTAAACATATACATCACCTTCAGACATTTCCTTGTGTTCTTTTGTGAGTTTTTATTTTTGTGATAAGAACATTTAACATGAGCTCTATCTTCTTAACATATTTTAAAGTACACAAGGCCATTTTTTAAACTATAGGCACTATGTTGTAGAACAGATCTCTAGAAATTATTCGTCTTGCAAAACTGAAACTTTATACACATTGAGCAACAACTCCCCATTTCCCCCTCCCCTAGTCCCTGGCAACCACCATTCTACTCTCTGCTTGTATGAGTCTGACTATTTTAAATACCTCATATAAGTGCAATCATGCAATATTCGTCCTTCTTTGATTGGCTTTTTCACTTAAGTCCTGTACCTCACAAATGGTTCGATTTTCTTCTTCTTTAAGGCTGAGTAATATTCCATTGTATGCATGTACCACATTTTCTTTATCTGTTCATTTGTCGATGGACATTTATGTTGTTTCCATATCTTGGCTATTGGGAATAATGCTGAAATGAACATGGGAGTGCAAATATCTTTTTGAGACACTGATTTCATTTTCTTTGAGTATATACCCAGAAATGAGATTGATGGATCATATGGTAGTTCTATTTTTAATTTTTTGAGGAACCTCCATACTGTTTTCTATAGTGACTGCACCATTCTCCATTCTTACGAACAGAGTATAAGAGTTCCAATTTCTCCACATCCTCAGTAACACTTGTTGTCTCTTGCTTTTTGATAATAGCCATCCTAACAGATGTGAGGTGATATCTCATTGTGGTTTTGATTTGCATTTCCCT